CACATCCGGGTTCTGGCCGTGACCCAGCTGCGGCCGGCGCGGAGATGTGACCCGTCAGTACGGCAAACATGGCGGAGGTAAGGGAGCGCGCTCCCCCGCCCCGTGCCGGGGCCGGCGCCCGGGCCGCCTGGGGGCGCGGAGTGGGCCTGGCCAGGGGAGGCGGCCCAGCCGGCGCCGCTGCCCACCTGTTGTCCGGAACAGGCCGCGTTCGGGCGGGAGCGTCCCCGGAACTTAGTTGGGATGGCCCGGGGTCGGAGCGGAGGCGCAGTTGGACTTCGGGGGCAGTTGGAGGGTCGGGCGCCGCGCAGGGGTGCGGCGGGGAGGGCGGGGGCCGCCGCCGGGCAGGGGCGCCCGTGGCGCAACTTCTCCGGCCGGTGCGGGCCGGCAGCGGAGCCGCTGCTTCCTCTCGTGCGAAGTTTCTTCCCTCCGCCGAGATGCTGCTGCGCCCTTCCGCGTCCCCAGCCCGCGCGGACGTCCGGGCCGTGCCGGGGGGCGGCCGGCGGCCTTGGGCTAACTCGCCAGTTTTCCTGGTGGGGGCGAGAGCAGCGCGGAGAAGCCGACCTGGCCTTTCGCAGTCCAGGTTGGGGGGTCTCCCCATTTCCCCAGACGGTCCTCTCCCCCTCCCCCTCCCCCTCCCCCGTGGAACCTCTTTTTCTCTCTACATTTCACAAGAGTTGCTTTCTGCCCCCTCCCCCCCTTCACTTTCTGGTCTTCTTTCTTCTCTAATTTTTTTGCCCTTGTTGGGCAACAATTTTTTTTTGTTTTTGCTCTTTTTCTAGTAAAAGAGTTCCCAAAGCCCCGTTTTTCTGGTGGTGGTTTACATTTTTGGGCCTCGAGTTAGTGGTCAGACAACTAGTGTTACTAATTCGAACTTAGTATATGCCGGAAGAGATTTAAATTTTTGCTTCGATATGCCACTGGAGATTCAAATTTTTGCTTGTGATTTACACCTTTAAACATTGGAAAATTGTTTTTAACTTTTTTTTCCCCTTATCCTCGGAAG